TACACGCTCAAAAAATTGGAGTTTGGTGTGCTCTCAATCGAAGGAGGATTTATGGACCTATTTTTTTTAATGGTACTCTTACTGCGCAAAGGTATAGAGAAGAAATTATCGCTCCTTTTGTTAACCAGCTGGAAGAAAACGAAATTACAAACTTTTACTTTCAACAAGATGGCGCAAGGGCACATACGGCAGGCGAGACGATGAATCTGTTGAGGGAAGTTTTCCAAAATCGACTAATAAGTCTCAATACTGAACATGAATTTCCACCGAGGTCATGTGATATTACGCCGTGTGATTTCTTTTTGTGGCCTTACCTTAAAAATACTATTTTTGAACTGCTTATTCCTGATTTAAACCATCTGCAGGCTCGACTTATAGACAAGATTCGTGAAATTAACAATACCCCGAGCATCTTAGAAAATGTCTTTAATTCTTTGAGGAACAGGTGTGAAAAGTGCTTGAAACAAGGAGGGGAACACTTTCAGCAGCTGCTTTAATCACACTGAAAAGGAAAAAAAGGAAAATTCACACTGAAAAGGAAAAAAAAAGATTTTATTTTGCATCACAGATTAGTTACACTAAATCAATAAACAAATTAGTGAAACATTTATTTTTATGTATGATGGTTTTCTACATACATGTCAACTTTACAAACTTGAAATCAAGCTTCAACTTCGTTTCAAGCTGCATTTAAGCAGCACAACACTCCAGCGTTGCACTATGAAAATAACATCACGCCGTTGTACTATGGCACTTTCAGTGCATATAACCCCCTACGCTATAGGTCCCATAATGACTTGCACTTGTGATAGAAATTATGAGCAACTCGTTCGGAAAAGTTGCCATAGTGCTATTGTCAACATTTCCTCACTTGTTACTCAATGTGCTATTCCTGTTACATCATACATTTCATATCAAAGTTGACATGTCTCGAAAACAAATAAATATTTGGAAAAACTTTTTATTACAAAAATTACTCAAAATTTAACGATTTTCCAGATGGACTGCATTTCCACGTTCCAAGGATCAAAAATTTTTTTAGGATCCACGCCATCTATACAGATTTGAACTAATAGTTTTTACTACAATTTGAAGTTATTTAAGAGACCTAACCCCAGTTTCCTGAACTAAAATAAATTCATTTCACAGATATTGGCAGTATTAAATGGCACACCGTGTATATTTAAAAAAATTTAATGCAACATCCCGATTCCACAGGCAAAATATTAGTGAAAAAAAAAACAGGACTGTGGCCCAAAATTGTTTAACCTACCTCACAGAAAGCATTTCAGCTTCTAAAATATTTGCGATTTTCTCAAAAATGGCTTTACCAACTTCAAACAAGAACATTTTTTTAAATTTTTTATTTTCTTGTCGTCGCCCCACGAAATGAAAAATTCTATCTTCTGTAACACCCAAGTGTACTCTAGATGGGCAATTCTGATTTTTTGTCCTATACTACTCATCTTCATAGCAAAGTAATGTCAAATTTAAAAATCCTCACATTACTTCAAGTACAGTAACCCTGAATGGTTAATAGAAAATTAAAAACATCATTTTCAATTCATTTTATTGAATCAAATAATTAAAACAACTATTTTTTTAAGAGGTCGCTGGTGCAGGCGCAGCAGCAGTTGCTTTGTCTTCCTCCTTAACTCTATCCTTCTTGAGAGCACCCATAAACGTAGTCTTATCGGCAGCAGTTTGGAACCTTCCATGACCAAATTTAGATGTAGTATCCACAAACTTCAGATTGATCTTTTCTAAAGCCACACGTTTTGTATGTACCAAGAGTGACTGCAAAGTAAAAAATAAATGAAGATTAATTATTTTTTATTACAACATTTTGAAACAGTGGAAACTTACCTTCCTGAGAGTGATGACACGTTTTTTAGGCCCCATGCAACAACCCTTTAACATAATAAAGTCATTGTTAACTTCACCGTAATGAGGGAATCCACCCAATGGGGTAATAGTCTTTTCACTTAAATCATATTCTGTTGCAGCATTGTTCTTGATAACCTAAAATAATAAAATCACCACTGAATTATTTGGAAACTTGAATAAAGAAAAGATTCACATGTTTACAATAATTTTTCAGTCCTATCATTCATAATCACAGATTATTTCATAATCCTTTTGGCTCATGAATTATCATCATAATTTCTTTGAATACTTCATTTAATAAATTAACAATTTTATAATTTGGAGAAATATAAACGTGTGGGCGATTTTGGTGACAAGTGGTATTGGAATCTTTGGAACCATAAAAGAGAAAAGTTGGTTAAACAGAAAATTTTAGACCCTTCTGTTACCAATTTAATGGCCCTGGCAGATCGGTTCTATTAAATCGAGATTTTGATATAGGTATCAAAAAAATATATATATAGTTTTCAGGGTGCACACTAAATATTAACCAAAAATTTTTAATATTTCCAATTTCCCATGTAGACTGAAACAATTTTCCAGTTCATGAAGATACAGAGCTTACAACAGTTTCCACTTCACAATCATTACTATTTATTTATTACGATTATTTCAAAGTATACAGCAGCCACCACGAGGAAAAATTTTTAATTACAATTTTAGAAAAAACGTTTCTAATAATTTTTACTTGCCTGGATACCAATTTAGATATAAAAGATTTTTGGTTCCGGAGAAAATTTCTTCTTTATTCAATATAATTAATAAAATACATTTTAGGGAAAATAGGATTCATATTTTTTATTTCAACGGTTATGGGCATGCAGATGGACATCATTCATCAAAAATTAAGATTGATAACATGAATCTGAAATCTGTGAAATTCTGTCGACTTACCTTTCCGTCCTTTGTGTGGATTCCAACTCCGATACGGTATATTTTTTTGTTCATCTCGGTACGGTGATGGTAACCTTTCTGGCCAGCACGAGCAACAGTAAATGACACTCTAGAAGGATGCCATGCACCGATGCAAGCGACTTTGCGAAGACCTTTATGGGTTTTTCGTGGCAATTTCTTCGTGTGCCATCTGGAGGTGACGCCTAATAAAATAAAAATGTTACTGAATGGCATTTACAAAGTACATAATTATTTTAGAAAGAAATATGTCAGGAGGAAGGCAGCATGGAGGTATCTTCAATAAAATCAGAAGCACAATCCATGTTTTTTCATCACATTATTTTTTTAATTTTTTTCCCCCCAGAATATGCAAAATGTACCTACTCATATTTCACATGCCTTTTAAAACACAATTAGGTAGAGACCGACCATTTAATCAGCTTCGGCCACATTTGACCATTATTTATTAAGCCTTCAGCTAAGAATCGGTTTCGGCCAAAATTAAGCCGAACCTTTTGCCGAAGTTGTTGACGTAGAGCATCGCATCGATATTCGACAGTCATGCTTTTTATTTTTCTACATCTTTTTTAGAATACCCGTTATGGTTTATGTTTATTATTAGAATTTGTTGTTTTATTTATTATTTATTATACTATTATTATATTTCCAAAATAGTATGCATTTACTTTTGACCTACTTTTATGTTATCATATTTTTTTTAATTAAAATATCTTCGGTTTCGGCATCGACTTTGGCCGAAGGTGACCCATAAACCGAAGTTTGGCTTCGGTTTCAGCCAAAAAAATTACATTAGGTCGGTCTCTACAATTAGGGCAGTTATAATTAAATGAACAGAAGAAAGAATATATCTAACTATCTGGAATTTTAAATTTAAAAAACCTCAAACAGAAGTTCTTTAATGCAATACTGCAATACTATATTGTTTGAGATTAAGAAAAAAATTATTGGAGAAAAGTAGTATATCAAACAAAACTGCAAATGAAACACTTTTTTAGTGAAGATGGCATTACTATCATCTACAAAGTAAGTTCCTAGCAATATGATGCAAATTATACAAATAAATTCACATTTTCATATTTTTGTTATTAACTGCTGCAGCATACAATCTATTAATACATTTTTAAAATTTTAGCACTCTAAAATTCAGTTAAAGCAGATGTATTTTCTGGTTGATGACGAAGTTTTACCAATCAAGGGCAGACAAAAACTCAATTATTGTTTGAAAAAAAAAATGCCACTATTATTTAATAATTAATATTCATTTTTGTTGATTATAAAGTTAAGTTATTCTCTAACTGCAAATATTACATATAGTTTCAAATAAAGCAAGAAATGATATGAAAACCAATGTCACTGAATGAATGAAATAAAAACACTTAAAAGTTATTTTCTGCTATTATTTTATAGAGCATTCATGAATGTTTACAAGCTACATGACCACTGAGCTTAAACAACCCAACATTACACCACTGGTCCTGGTAACAAAAGACCTCTAAATTTTGGCATCACCAATATTAATGATTCGTTTACAATTAACAACAAACCGTTATGCCTACGCTCAAGATACTACGATCGTTGATTGGTTGAATACAATCTCGTGAGAAATTACAACAATCACTGCTGATTAAATAGAATGTTGTACTTTATTATAATCTTGATCTTATTGTTTTAATAATTTTTAATTTTACTAAAATTTAATTACTAACATGAAGGAAAAAAAATTACTGTTCTAAACAAAATCACTGGCCATGTGGCTTGTAATCATTTATGAAGTACAGAAGGCTCTATACCACTAATCATCATTGAATTTTACTTGATACATTTTAATATCTTCTAACAAAACAGAAGTTGTATAATTTTTTTTTATTTTGGTGATGTTTAGTTGCCAAATTATGCTTGCTTCAAATAAGAAATTGGTATCTTGATGATTTCTACCGAATACCCCTCTTGCTTCCCATTACCTATATAGACTAGGCGGTATCTGTTTTGGTGAATCGTATATCCACGGAGATTTTTAGCTTTTTGGCTTTCAAATATCACTAGAAATGAAAATTTTTCTATGCGCATAAAAAAAAACGTGGGTTTAACTTTTGGCGGCACAATATGTTAAAAAAATTTGGAAAATATATTTTTCTTCCTATTTAATTATGTATTTTCAAGAGTTGATTTTAGGCGAAAATGGAAGAGGAAGAAAATGTTTGCAATTAAATTTTTTACAAAACATGTCTAGTTACAAATCGAATGAATCATGATTATTATGGTAAAAATCGAAAAAATCGCAAAAATGGGGTTAAAAAACAATACTTTTTAGGGAATTTTTTTAGGGGTATTTAAATTGGGTGTAGGACCTTTATACTTGGCTCAAGAAAACTTCATGTTATGTAGAATCATCACACCAAATTTCATCAAAATCGGTTCGATAGATTTTGCATAATAATTTTGCAATCCAGATTTTGAAAAAAAAATTGCAAATTTTCAAAATTTTGCACAGCAAAAACCAAGGCCCTTATATACTTGAAAATTTAATCACATATAGAAGGGCTCTCAAGCTTTCAAACTTTTTTGAAAAATTCGAATCCGTCAATTAGGAGAGCTCTGGCGCTTGTTTAAACATTGGTCGAATTTTTGTACTTATAAACAATTAGAACTTTGTGAATATTCAATCAAATCAAATTTTTTAAAGCAGGTTTTAAGTTCTTGGAAAGACGTTTGAAAGCTTGAGAGCCCTTCTACGTGTGATTAAATTTTCAAGTATCTAAGGACCTTGGTTTCTGCTGTGCAAAATTTTGAAAATTGGCAATTTTTTTTTCAAAATCTGGATTGCAAAATTATTATGCAAAATCTATCGAACCGATTTTGATGAAATTTGGTGTGATAATTCTACATAACATGAAGTTTTTTTGAACCAAGTATAAAGGTCCTATACCCAATTTAATTACCCCAAAAAATTCTCTAAAAAGTATTGTTTTTTAACCACATTTTTGCGATTTTTTCGATTTTTACCATAATAATCATGATTCATTCGATTTGTAACTAAACATGTTTTGTAAAAAATTTAATTGCAAACATTTTTTTCCTCCCATTTTTGCCTAAAATCAACTCTTGAAAAGATACATAATTAAATAAGAAAAATATGACATTTTTCGAATTTTTTTTAACATATTGTGCCACTAAAAGTTAAGCCCACATTTTTTTTATGTGCATAGAAAAATTTTCATTTCTAGTGACATTTGAAAGCCAAAAACCCAAAAATCTCCATGGATATACGATTCACCCAAATATGGCTTTTTGAAACAGACATCGTCTGGACTAATAGAACAGACGGTCATTTTTAAACTATACCAAACGAACTGTTGCCTTGTGACGTCAAAAACATGTCTGCAAATGTAGGGGCAAATATAAAATTAAAGCATTTTCTGATTTAGTTTTTTTTAACAAAAAAATATAGCAACAGAAAAATTTTGATAATCCTTAAAAAAAATTAGCAGACTGAGCCCACAATGAATTAAATGAACTTTGGAAAAGATTGATAATAAAACTAAATTAGTTGAGAATTGGTGAATTAATATTTTTAATTCTCAAATAATAATAAAAAATTTGTGATTATGAAAAATTGGAACTAAAAAATAAATATTAAAAATGTATATAGAAAACAGAAAATTGTGACATATTTTCTAAAATAGTCTCCTTTATTTTGCGGGAAAAAGTCATATTAAATATCCCTTCCAATATACTTAAGTTTTTATGTTAAATATCAATATGTGATAATGCATACGAAAATATGGAAAATGTTTTTACAAAAGATCGTGTAAACACCAATCAACAGAAGTAATAGTAAAATTCTATTCAACATGATACTGAAAAATCTCATCTAGTCACCCTTTTCCCATGACATAACCAAAGTAAAATTCTACAAGATTTGATCCCACTATAGGCCTCAAAATGTTAAGCAAAATAAAAATTACGGCATCACTCAGAAAAATTTTAATCGGACAAGTCATGAAAGCATTCACTTTACTTTTGTTAAATATTTACGTAGAGCCTCATGTGTATCAACTAAATGTTACCTTTATATCCATGGCCTTTAGTAACACCAATGCAATCAATCATCTCATCTTGACTAAATACATTTCCTACCGGAATAGACTTCTCAAGGTGCTCCCTAGCCCATGCTACTTTATCAGCAACAGTACCACCATTCAATTGAATTTCCATAATATGGGCTTTCTTTTGACGTTGTTTCAACAGTTTCATCTACGGCAAAAATTAACAAACAATGAAAAGGCAGTACCATAAATAAAATTATTTAATTGTGAGGTTATATTTTAAAAGCTGTAGCGAACATGGTTTTTCAAAGTGTCACTGTCCAGGGACTACACAATGATTATGGAATATGCTCCCTGTGCCTCCCGAAGGGCACATAATCTACGACACTGTAGCTAGGATCCCATCAAGTGAAACCCCAATGCCACCAGCTGGAGGGTAAGCTCCATAACTGATCGTGTCGAAATGTAACACATATAATAATGTCTAAAGTAAATGAATTCCCAAGTGGGGTTAGTAATTTCATGATAATGAACAAGACACTAGTATTTGGAGAAGGAAATACTGATTTCATTATTATTTTTCTATGTATAGTATTAATACTTTTAAAAAAGTAGCCAATACGAGATATTATTTCTAGAAAACAGATGAATAAAATAAGGAATTTAAAATAAAATTTTTCGGCAGTATACTTTTAAACAGATTGAATTGTACTTCTAACTGCACTAATATTTGCATTTGTCAACATTTTATCTCATCCAAATGTCTTAACTAATGAGTAAAGGGCAATAAAACGATAATTATATTCATTTCCCCTGTACCTCTTGAATTAAATTATTTCTGCTACATTAAAAATAGTAAGTCAAAGATTTTTTAAAGTTTAGTTTAGCAAAAACTTCAGTAAACAATAAATGCAACGTTTTTAGCCAGGTATTGCATTTTCGATCAAAAGTTGAAGGAAAATTTTGTTAACATTGCATATTTATACTTAATTACACAGAATACAATTACCAATATACAGGATGTTTCCCAAAGACCTCCCATAAATTCAGGGGGTGATAGTACGACAAAAAATAAGAATTTTTTGTCCGATGAACTATATGTCTATTTCCTCTTGTTTTCGATATCCAGAGCGACAAAATAAAATTTTTTAAATAAAATTTTTACGATAATTTCCAAACGGTGCGAAATATTTATATGAAATTTGGTTTTCTGGGGTTTTTAAGGATGCCAAATACGCCGGTCTAGTTATTTTTTTCTATATTTTATTTTATTTATATATTTCATAGAGGGCGCTAATTATGCTACATTCCTATTACCTTTTAAGTTCTAATTTTTTTAAGGTTAGGTATTTTACCATTCGGGCTCCAATTTCTAATATACAATTTTATTTTCTAAAAATGTACTTTTGTTAGAACTTCCCTAATGTGGACGGTTTTCGAGAAAAAGGCTTTTAATTGAACTCTTACAATATTACGGTGTATAAAATAAATGACTTATCTCAGAGTAAGCTTATGTCAAAACTTATTGAAGGTTGTCTTATAAACAACGCATACATTCTTGGTAATATTTTAAGCCTTTTTTCTCGAAAACAATCCACATTAGGAAGTTCTAACAAGAGTACATTATTTTTAGAAAATAAAATTGTACATTAGAAATTGGAGCCCGAATGATAAAAAACCCAGCCTTAAAAAATTTTTAACTTCAAATGTAATAGGAATGTAGCATAACTAGCGTCCTCTATGAAATATTCAAAAGATAATTAGACCAGCTTATTTGACACCCTTAAAAACCCTGGAATATCAAATTTCATAAAAATATTTCGCACCGTTTGGATATTATAATAAAAATTCTATTTAAAAAAATTTAATGTAATAATTTCTTTTCTAAAACATGCGATTCAACTATGTATATGCACAGTGTAAAAATATCTTTTTACTTTTCTCCTATGAGCTGGCTGAACTGGTACTAAGTAATCAGACCAAGACGGCAGATAAAACTATACATATTTTATGTATTATATATATATATATNAAATAAATAAATTCGTAATAACATTTAATACCATGTAATGGATATAGCAAATCACCCATGATAAGTCTGAAAGTGCCCTGTCACGTGACCCTAGACTAGTTTCATCCCACTTTACATGTTGTCCCCTACCCTCTCTCCTATCATGACCTGATTATCCAAACGAGTTACAAATATTAAATAAAGAACATTCTTAATTCTCAAAAGTGAGTATCATAAATTAGACCACTAAATGTTTATTTAAATTTATTTTAATGTATTATATATTATTTCAACAAGTTTATTTCTCCTGTTTATATAAACAATAATAAATTATCCACTGGAGTTTTGCTTTAAAATACTATAATACCGACAATTTAATTGCGGACTAAATTATTACCCATGCATTTTATGCCATTACAAATAACGATAAGAGATAAATGCGCATCAAAATACATGCATCAGTTCCTTCAGATAATTTGTACAACTATAATCTACCTTAAATATATACTAACCTGAGTGTGTGCAATAATTCGAACTACTTTGCAGTATTTTATGATTTTCTTGAAGTCACGTTCAATCGACTTCTTTCCTAAGTTATCACTCCATTTTTTAGAGGCTTTGGTAAAAGCCTTCTTCTTGCTCTTGTACCTGAATCATATGGATTAGATTACTCAATTCACAAAAACCACCAAAGGAATTTTATTTTTACTTCATCTGCAAGAACAAAAAGGGGTCGTCTCATAGTTTAGTGGAGACTTTGCCCTTAGTCACACATTGCTTGAACTCGTTATCCAAAAGGATATCCATTATTGAGTCAGCGCAGTGAACAATGTATTACCCTCGTGCTATCAGCGGAGGATTTTGCAGAAAGTTAATCAAAGGTATTTAATTTTTGTACATTACAAGTTAATATAGTACAACAAAATACTTAATAAATGGACCTTTGTTACGTAAAATGTTTGTAAATTTCACAAATAAAGTGGTGAAAACAATATTAGCTTCATATTTTGAAAAAGTGAAGTACTATAATAGCTTTTACACTACTCAAAATTTAGTAAATTTCTTTGAAATAAAATTTTTTATACATTTTTAAAAACATTAACTGGCTCTTAACTTTTCAGTCTAAAATTGGTAGTATTATAAATGAAAAAAGGAATGTAGTTCATTTTTATAAGATATTGAGGTGTATATCAAATTTAGACCAATACTCTTGTTATTTATAGGTTTTTCAGGTAAACTTGAAAAATTTATTGAAGTTAAATAAATGTAAGTTCTGCAGTCTTCATAAATAATTACAACCCATGTTACCACCAAGCTTAGGCAACTCAACATTGCACGATTGGCACCGGTATTGAAAATTCCCTAGATCTGGCATATTAATCACTAGTTTACAATGACCAATGACAAACCGTTACGTCTACGCTCGAAATAATGTAATCGTTGATTGGTTGAATAGTATCTCATGAAAAATTACACCAATCGCAGCGAGTGAAACAGAACATTGTATTTTAATGTAATCATCTTTCTATTTTAATCATTTTTTAGTTTTACAGAATTTTAATGGCCAGCACGGATATAAAATTACTGCTCCAAACAAAATCACTGGTCACATGGCTTGTAATCATTTATGAAGGCTCAATTATCAATATCTTCACTGTAAATATTTAACAAAGTACGATTATTTCAAAAATTATGTAGTGACTGCCATAAAAGTTGCATAGGAAATGAAACATTTATTAAAAAATGATAAATTCTAATATTTTTACTTATCTGAATATCAAATTAATTAGTCAGTCAGCCACGAATTAGTTACCATTTCTGGTTAAATCGATAAAAATTTAATTATTTATATTTATATCGATAAATGCATCTCATAAGAAAGTTTTAAAAATAGAAGTACCACATAAATGAATTTTTTTCTTTCAGATATAGAAATTCAAATTCAGAGAAAATCAATGAACGATATTGGAATTTGGCCAATACTTCAGATCTTTGACGCCCTGGATATTCTATGAAATATTTTTGATACAATGGAAATTAATGTGTTAAAAGTAAAAAAAAATGTAATGATTTGTTTAAATTTTAAACACCTAATTAAGCTTTGAAGCAAATATCCCAGCATTTCAATTCAATGGTCCACTGTAATTAATTATTCATTTTTAATAAGTTAATAGACAGCCATACAGCAGCAGAATTTTTAATGGATCTGATTTGATACTAATCAGACAGGTAGAACACTAGTCACTAATGCAAAATCTAGAACGTGTAGCTACAATTTAAGCATTAAAAAAACAATTTTTTTAAATAATAAATTCAGTGACTTTACTCGCAAATATTGGCACTTGGTACAATAGCAATGTTATTCAAGACACCGCTTTTCCAATTTTTATTGCCATCAGCGCATTGGCCTATAAGAATATTGAACTAAAATTTTAATCTCTGCAAGTGGTCACCATAGATTTAGTAGTATATGGATCGAGTCAAAGGCCACTTTTTGCACATTTTAGCTGTTCCGACATGAACAGCGAAAGCGGCAGCAATATGCCCTAAGTCTAGGATAAAATCGCGCTACATTGATTTAAAAAGCAACTCTATTTCTGATTAGGAAATTATTATTTTTTTTATAGTAACAATAATAAAATAAATAAATTCGTAATAACATTTAATACCATGTAATGGATATAGCAAATCACCCATGATAAGTCTGAAAGTGCCCTGTCACGTGACCCTAGACTAGTTTCATCCCACTTTACATGTCCCCTACCCTCTCTCTCTACATTCCATACTATATTAGATCTATGGTGGTCACCTATTAAAGTTTTCGAATTATTTTTAAAGTGAAGTGGATACTAGAATTGTATCATTTTTAAAACACATTTGGGGTGAATCTTTTGCAGAATTGTTCAGAAGGCTATCAAATTCTTCCTACAATCTGCCAACATATGACTGGCTGATATGACAATACTTATCTCTTTTAATTAATTTGAGAAAATTATGTTAACACTTGACCACTCACCAATTCTTGTAGAATCGCCTGCGGCAATCATCAGACAGATGTTCTGCCCAAATAGTAGCCAAAGCACGTAGACCATGTGGAGTTTCAATATAGCCTACAACTCCCACAACAACCATTGGAGGCGTTTCTAAAATGGTTACTGCTTCTACGATTTCCTTCTTATTTATCTCTAAAAAATAAAAATTACGTTTTTATAAAACTTTCATCTTTACGACGATCACTGATTGTAAAATTACTACTTACTAGAACCAGGCCGATCAGCTTCTCTTACTACATGTGTCATGCCCGCTTTGTATCCAATAAAAGCAGTCAAATGCACAGGTTTTGATGGATCATCCTTAGGGAATGCTTTTACTTTTCCACGGTGTCTTTGAGACCTCTTTTTGGGGTAGAAACCCATAGACCCGTGACGGGGAGCGCTAAATTTACGATGCGACTAAAACAAAAAGTTGCCTTAAACATCGGTAGTTTAAATATGAATAAATTGTTATTTAAATTATGTTATCAGACCGCCCTAGAAATACTGACCACATGTTGGTATTCGGACATAAAACCATAAACAATAATTCTAAATCATCATTTTAAATTATATTCAAAAGATAAATATATAATTTTATATAAATATATTGACTAGAAGAATATTAAAATGCAAATATTCAAGTAGATATTTTAGTGATGTTTTAAAAATTAACAGATAATAAATTGACAAACAACTTACCATCTTCAAGCACAAAACGCAAATGGACGACGAATTGGTAATGCTCAATGCATGCAGGCTGCAGGACAATTTTCTAGAGGGCGCTTTGTGGACAGACAAAAAGTGTAGATCCCGTAACCTTTCAAATTTGCAATATACCGTGGTTCTAAAATGTTCGGTTTTCTAAAGTCCAGTAGACTTTCAGCTATTGTGATGTAATCAAAAAATATATTTGTTGGCCCGCTGGAACTAAAGAAAAACGGAAAATTTTAAAGCGTTGTTTTGCTTATGATGACGAACTAGATTTATGAGTAGAACGATTATATGTCGGCACGAACAGCGAACCTGCCCCGCGCTTATTAAAAACAACCAAACAAAAGTAGGTTATTATTCCGTGGGTTAGAAGTAAATAGGATTTCTCATTTTTTTAAATGATAATAATTATTATTGTAAACTATGCATCATGTTTTATGAGTGTATACAGGTTGATTCAAAAAACCGCTGACAGACTTCTAGGGTAGATAATACATAAAAAATTAAGACGAAAAGTTTTAATAAACATAGTGTCGCAAATGCCTCCT